TTCTGAAATCCTGCATTATTGAAAAAAGAAAAAAAAATAGAAACAATTTTTGTATTTTTTCAATGGCAAAAATAAACCATAAATATTGATCATATCCTCTCAAATACAAAATAAAAAAAATGGAGAGAAAAAAAATGATAATTATACAAAAACATATTAGGCATACATTGGTTTTACTGGGGTGAAGGAAGTTTTATTTTCAGCCAGGTGTCCAGTCAATGACCCCAAAGATAATAAGTGCTACCCCCAAACGAGGAGCACCAGAGGGTTAATTTGATGGTACGCTTCTCCACATAGGAAGAACACACATGCCATTGGCCTACTGACCTGATGCAGACACACAGCGGATTGATATCGACTTGGTCTAGAGCTAGGTTTACGCGAGGTAAGGTGACAATAAGCGGAGCAGTCTGAAATCTCCCCCAATACCTCTGAAATAGAGTGCACTGCAGTTCAATTTTTCATAAATCATAATACATGCCTGCCTATGGAAGCCATACGTTATATTGCTCACTTTACAACTTAAAAATATATAAAATATATTTTAGTAGAATCCTGAACACATTTACAATTTATTATTGATTCAGTTCATGTAGAGGTCTACGTTTTAGATAACTGGAACATGATGTATAACTGGAAAATAATGTATAACTGGAACATGTTATAACTGGAACATAATATTACATTATGCAGGAAAACAATTAAGCTCTGTCTTGGATTGGTTATTATTGGTAAATTAAGTTTTAACCATCAGTCAACATGCTCCATGGGAATGCTCATTATTTGAAGTGGGAGGGCTTGTCTGTTTTTATCTGTGAGTTTAAATGTGAAACGTGAGCAGTTCACAGCTGGACAACAGTCAGCATGCTGGGCTTTCTGATACTGGTGTGGATATGCATCTTCATCTTGTTCCTCTTCATCCAGATCCCGAAGCCAAAGAACTTTCCTCCAGGACCTCGTCCTCTGCCATTATTTGGGAATTTGCTTGAGCTAAACATGAATAATCCTTTGAAGGATTTCGAGAGGGTATAGTATTACATTATCATTCTCATTCGTTTTAAAATATAAATAAATATATTTTAAGAATACCCATACAACTGTCAAGAGTTATCTGTTTAAAACATCTGGTAATGTATTGCATAATGAGCAGCCCCATGTGATGTCTTAACTCTAAGCTGGCAGATCGCTATGGAAAAGTTTACAGCCTGTACCTTGGATCAAAACCTTGGATAGTTCTTAACGGTTTCGAGGTTTTGAAGGAAGCTCTTGTTACTAAGGCTGTGGACTTTGCAGGACGTCCTCAGGACCTCATGGTCAACCATATTACAAAGGGAAGCGGTAAATCTTCTTCCAAATCAACCTTTACTCTTACACTGGTGTACACAATACGGTTAATCAGTATGCTTTTGAGGTTGTTCACTCAGTCTCCCCTTTCTTCAGAGTTCACAGAGCAATTTTCATCCTTATCTGAGATTGCAACGAGTACCATTTAGCACATAAATGACAGTTATATATTATCGCAGGTGTCATTTTGTCTGACTATGGCCAATCTTGGAAAGAACACAGACGCTTTGCTTTGATGACCCTGAGAAACTTTGGCCTGGGGAAGCTGTCGATGGAGGAGAGAATTCTGGGAGAGGTTTCACATATTACTGCTAAATTGGAAAAACTAGTTGGTAATAATGTACTCAATCTCATTTTCGTTGTCTCAAAACAAACTCACACAAGAGCTTGAGTTGACTTTCCTATCAATGTACTTGCAGGAAAGTCCTTTGACCCTCAGACTATGTTCCACAATGCTGCATCAAATATCATTTGCATTGTTCTGTTTGGATCCCGTTATGATTATGAAGACGAATTCCTCAAGCTTTTTATTCACCTCTATACAGAGAATGCAAAGATTACAAATGGACCGTGGGCCTTGGTGAGGCATTTTATCACTTCATCTTTTAAGGGTTTATATTCCCCGAGACATTTTAAATAAAAATATTTTCTGTAGTTTTTTTTTAATTTTTAAGAAGAATTTTTTTCTATTCTATTGCAGATATACGATACATTTCCAATGGTGAGATTTCTGCCTCTACCCTTCAAGAAGGCCTTCAAAAATGCCAGCAAAACCAGAGAATTGTCAGCACAACTGGTCAATGAACACAAAAAGACAAGAGTCCCAGGAGAGCCAAGAGACTTCATTGACTGCTATATGGATGAGCTTGATAAGGTGCTTGCACATCTGTAATGGTATTTTTTTAGGAAAACGCAATATATCGGTACCATATTGGTTATTGCCGATATTAGAGATTTTTTAAAATGTATTAGTATTGATTGATATTGGATATTTAATGGCACATCATTTACTCTATTTTTACATTTGCATTACCTTTGCCATTATCTAATGATCACTGAGGATACATCTACAGTATCTAAACATCTAAACTACGCTTTTTGAAAATGCTCTTCAAAGTGGATACATTTGAAACGCAGTTTTTGCGTTATAGTGTTAGTTTGGACACGAGCATGCATGTTCAGTCATGTGACGCATATTGTACCGACATGTTTATATTTCGGTATGTGCAATCTGCTATTCACTTTCACAATGTTGTTAAAGAGACATGTTACTTTGTAAAATCTTCATATTACATTCCTGCCAAGATAAATTTATTCTCAATTGCTGTCCTGTGTTAAAACATGAGGGCAATTGCGTTTTAGAACAAACTTAGAGTGGTGAATGAGTGTGACCTGCACGCGTAAGTAGTGTGAGATATTTTGCTAATAGTGATTGTGCCGGAAGAATAACATGAGAACTTTCTTATGTCTGGTCTTTTGTTATCATCTCAGTGAGCTTTTGCATTTTGCTTGATTTAAGCATCTTCCGACATTTAAATGTGGACGAGAAACCTTTAGAAAACGGTTGAAACGCTAGTGTGGATGGAGAGTGTTTTGAAACAAAAACAGTTTTCAAATGTACCTCGATTAATGTAGACAGCCTTGAAGTCAGGGACCTTTTACACAACACTGTTTTCAACTAAAAACGGAAACCTTTTTATGCATTTTGGCCATTCTTTTACATGACAACAGCGTTTTGTGGGCCTGAAAATGTTTCAAAGTGCAAGTTGTAAACCACAAAAACGCGAATTTGTGAAAACGGTGACTTTTACTGTTAGTGCATCCCTATTTTACCTGAATTACAAAGTTGTTTGTATTAATCTCTAATCAGTGGTATTTTAATTTCACTAGAGAGGAAACGATGGATCCTCGTTTACTGAAGCTCAACTTATCCTGTACATTCTGGATTTGCACTTTGCAGGGACTGATACCACGTCAAACACGCTCCTCACTGCATTTCTCTACCTCATGAACCACCCAGAGGTTCAAGGTTTGTGTTTTGGTTATTTAATGCATTTTAATTAATTCAACCATTGCTTTAGCTTAAAATAGCTTTTATTCCACCAGCAAAATGTCAGCGAGAGATTGATGATGTTCTGGGGGATAAAGATCATGCATCGTATGAAGACAGACATGATATGCCGTACACACAGGCTGTGATTCATGAAGTTCAGCGCGTCGCTAACACTGTACCGCTAAGTGTTTTTCACTGCACCACCAAAGACACTGAGCTGATGGGCTACAACATCCCGAAGGTGAGGAAACCATATACAAGTTATGAGTTTTAAGCCTTTAAAATCATAACTTTGTTTCCTTTTCTTCTCTAGGGAACTTTTGTTATTCCTAACCTCACTTCTGTACTAAAAGAAGAAGGCCAGTGGAAGTTTCCTCATGAATTCAACCCAGACAACTTCCTGAATGAGCAGGGCCAGTTTGAGAAGCCTGAGGCCTTTATGCCTTTTTCTGCAGGTAAACAATTTAGAATCGTATACAGGTACACTGTAAAAAATAATCGTGATTTTAACGGTAAAAGACTGTAAAATGCTACAGTGCAAAACTGTTAATTAGTTAGAAAGTTTCCGTACAATATACTGTAAATAACTGTGATACAGTAGGTACATTTAATATAATTTTACTGTAAAAAATTGTAAAATTTACAATTTTTGAAAGTGAATAAGAACAAGTCTTTGTATAATTTACAGTGAAAAACCGTAAGTTAACATTCTCACAATTTCCTGTGTGACACTTCACTTTTTATGTATTTATGTTGAAATAACTGGTTGGTATGGTCTTTTTTTCTAATCAGTTATTATGTTACATTTAACGTTGTTAAATTAATTTTTAATCTCATGTGTGTTACCATGATGGTGTTTAATGTTTGTGTGAATGAAAATGTGCAGCTTCTTTATATAAATATTAGCTTACTTATGGACACTACTTATGATGAGTGTCGATTCATCATTCAACTCGCATCACTGCGGTGAAGATTGGTTGTCAGTGTATTACAATGGTACAAAACAGATATCAATTTGGTAAGGTTGGTAAATTAACATTATATCAGATAAAGAAATACGGTTGATTACTGTAAATTTTAAGTTAAGTCTGTAAAACCAATAACGATGCTACCGTATTTTTGATGGTAAAGTTCTGGCAACCACAGCTGCCGTTTTTTACCGTAAAAATTATGGTTTTATTTTTTACAGTGTAGTTTTTTTTTTGTTTTTTGTTTTTTACAGTGTAGTAGTAATTCGTATATATGCAAATATATGGTGTACAGGTCCCCGTGTGTGTCTTGGTGAGGGTCTTGCACGTATGGAGCTCTTCCTGGTCATGGTCACTCTGTTACGCCGCTTCCAGTTTGTGTGGCCCGATGATGCCGGGGAACCAGATTACACCCCAGTGTACGGGATCACCATGACGCCCAAACCCTACAGAATGCACATCAAGTGCAGACAGACAGTCAAATTATAATTTGTTCTGTTGCAAAAGATGATTTGATGTTATTATTTTAATAACAGTATGTAATATGACTGGTCATAATATATAGTATTTTTTTTTTTTTTTAAAAGGTAATAAAAACAATCGCAATGCATCTTAAGACAGTCCTTAAATAAAAAACTTCTACAAAATAGTTGGCTCATCTTGTCTGAATGTGTACCAGAGTGGTTTTATTTTGTTCACTTAATCATTTGTAGGGTTATAATCATTGTTGAAATCTAAAAATGAAAAGACTGTCACTCCAGTCTTCAGTGTCACGTGATTCTTCAGAAATCATTTTAATATACTAATTTGTTCTCAAGAAACATTTCATGTTGAAAACAAATTTGCGCTATCATATTTTTGTGGACATCATGATACATTTTTCAGGATTCTTTGATGAATATAAAGTTAAAAAGAACAGTATTTATTTGAAACAGAAATCTTTTGTACCCCCGGTTTCACAAACCAGGCGTGAGCTAGTCCCAGACTAAAATGCATGTTTGAACTTTTAACTGAAAGCAACTTGTCAGTGCCATTGTTTTGTCTCAAGATGCACACCAGTATACTGTGAAGGGATTTGTATTTAATTGCAGTTGAATGCAAATTCAGGTGAATGCAGAAACGCAGAATTTTGAGCAGTGCTTGTTTGTCTGGGTTCATTTTATCTTTCTGGAACACTGCCAATATTTGATCAGATATAGGAGACCTACCGAGAGATTGAGTGGTTTGAGTTCACAAGCTTGTTTTGCTCGAGACGAGAGACAACAGCTGGACATCAGTCAGCATGCTGGGATCTTTGATTCTCCTGTGGATATGCATCTTCTTCATCTTCCTCCTAGTCCGGATCCAAAGGCCGAAGAATTTTCCTCCAGGACCTCGTCCTTTGCCAGTTTTTGGGAATCTGCTTCATGTGAACATGGCCAATCCTTTGAAGGATTTGGAAAGAGTATGGCTTTATTTTATGTCATCTTAAGTTTAAACATTTCTTTTTTTTTCTTGTTTGTAAAATAATGTTGTTATTTTTTTTTAGTTTGCAGAACGATATGGGAATATTTTCAGTCTGTATACTGGATCAAGACCAGCAGTTTTTCTGAATAGTTTTAAGGTTATCAAGGAAGCTCTGGTGACAAAGGCTCAAGACTTCTCAGGACGGCCTCAAGACTTCATGATCAGTCATATCTCGGAAAATAGAGGTAACTCCAACTACAAGCTGTCTCAGCTAAGTAAATAACAGTCTAGCGACAGTTCAGTAAAGAGTGACTTACATATTAGTTAGACACAATGACTCTTTTGCTGCGCCAGCGAAAATACTTCCAACTGTACTGCATAAACAACTTGCCCCGCTCCTGTATCACTCCGCGTCGCATAAGCATGCACAGAGATTTAAAGAGTCAGTCCACAAGGTATTACGCACGCACGCGCGCAACGCAACACAACAGGACTAATTAAAAGTACAGTTTACATCAGGATCAGGAGCACAATCCCTCGATTTCACAGACAAGATTCAGGACTAGACCCAGACTAAAATGCATGTTTGAACTGTTTGAACTGAAAGAAACCTGCACTGGCACCTGTCAATTCCATTGTTTTGTCTCGAGATGCACACCAGTAGCCTAATGATTTTTTCTAAGGCATGTTTATAAAAGCTAATTAAATATTCTAAATGAAAACTAAGGCCAATTCCTGGCTTAATCTAAGCCTTATATGTGAAACAAGGTCTACATGTTATAATATGAAATAAATAAGCTGTTGGAATATCTTTAGTGCTAGAAACCCTACAACGTTTAACTATAACATAATTTTACTAAAGGTGTTGTATTGGCTAACTATGGCCCCCTTTGGAAGGATCATCGACGCTTTGCTTTGATGACCATGAGGAACTTTGGCCTGGGGAAGCAGTCCATGGAGGAGAGAATTCTGGGAGAGATTTCACACATTGTTGCTTACTTAAACAAAAATGCTGGTATTTATTTATATGTGTTTTTTAAAAAGTTTTGATCGACAAGATGAAGATAATGCGATTTATTTATTTATGTATTTATTTTATATATCAGCTGACAAGGAAAATGTCAATCTTTTTAATTGATTTTCATTTGTACAGGAGGAACTGTGAATCCTCAAAATATGTTCCACCAACTTGCATCAAATGTTATCGGCTTGGTTCTGTCCGGATCCCGTTTTGATTACAACAATACATTCCTCCAGAGCTTCGTTCAGCTCTTTACAGAGATTGCAAAGATCCTCAATGGACCATGGATGGAACATGGTAAGATTTTAGATACATTAAATTTTCTATAAAGCCAATGATTAAACTATGATGTTACCTGCTATTGCTAATCAGAGGAAGTTGGTACAGTTGGCTAATAGGGGGAGGGACATTCTCATTCTAGAGAGCATCTGATTGGACAAAATTATGTATAGTGCAGTATGAGTCATGAATGTATAATTGGTCTTTTTCTGTCAAATTTAAGCCTGTATAACTTCTAAATATGTATTTTCGTCAACATCTAGAGATTTCACATCTAGCACAGATTTCACTATTGTAGGCTACTCTGATTCTGTAAGTGAAAGTAAATCATATGAAAATATATTTAAAGCACTTTTTACTCAGGTATAAAGAGTGATACATTTCTAAATGCTTTATTTTTGGGGGATAGGATCATAACTGTATTATTTATGTGGTGAATCACTGCTTTTGAATGTAAGGGTTTCAGCTCTTGTGTTCACACATTTCAAATGATTCCAGATCTGCTATTGATTAGTAGATATAAAACTCCTTACTGGCTGTACTCCAGGCAGTATGTCAATAAATTATTACAACAATTAATGCTTATGTCTTTTTCATTAATTGTTCTGTACCACTGTGATCATTTGTGTATGCATTTCAACGCATTTCTATTAACATCCTCGCGGGTTTAACTCTCAAAAACGAGATCAATGACCAAATTACAAACAAAACAAAAAAACAAATCTTCTTAGTGAATAAAAAACACTGGGTTTTAAGAACAAAAAAAAAAATCTTCAGTGTTTTATTTATTTTTAAAACGGCTTTACGAACAACAACAAAACTCTTATTAGTGAATCAAAAACAACGGATTTTACGAACTAAAGCACAACGAGCGACTCTTGAGAGTCGTTTCTTTTAATGGAATTGTTCAAAAAGGCGAGTTGCAATTTTAAACCAGCCTAACGAATTGTTCGCTAAACAATCTGAAAGACTACATGTGTCGTTTGAAATCGTAATTGGCAACAGATGATGTATGATATAATTTATATTCTTTTATTCCATACAAAGAATAAAACTAATCTTGAATTAATCCGGCCACATCATGGATCAAGATTGTTACACAATACCAGAGGTTTAACAAGAAAAGGTTTACACAAAACAGCAAATGGACTGTTTTTTGCTAGATCCTCTATTAATGCATTATAAAAAGAAACCAGATTATTATTATTTTTTTGAATATATTTTTGATCTCAAAACTATTTTAAATTTAACATACAAAGAAGTGCGAAAATCTGGCCCCTGATAAAATGCTAAATCCTTTCAAATGGAAACATGATTATCTTCCCCCCCAAAATACTGATGTTAAATCCTAGTGATACTGTATTTTCGAACTAATGGGGAAAAGGAGAAGATAAACCAAAAATACAATGAGAGGTTAAGGTTATGTACATCAAGTGTAAGTTGAAAACATGATTATGTGACATGACAAAGTATCAAATCACGCCAATATACTCATGCAGTGTTTTCAAACTCTTAGAACAGATGTGTCAAATTTTACACAATATGTGTTGTCCCTGAGCTGATTCAGCACATGTGTTAAAATTTAACACATTATGTGTGAGTGCACTTACTCTTTTCATGAAGAGCCTCGATGGAGGGCGTTTCCGTCTCCTCATCCACATCTCCGTAGTGCAGGACTTTGAGATTAGGAGAGAGACGACAATACCACAGCTTGTCTGAAAAACAAACAAAAAAAAATGACTGAAGGACCTGAAAATCATTTTCTGATGCCTTCCTCAGAGGATCATGGTGTCTTACCTTGCCTCGCGTCCCGTGACACAGACGGTTTAGTCTCTGCTGTCTGATGAGTTCCAGAAGCTCCGGCTTCAGACGTTCCTTCAGCTCACTGGACACAAAGACAACAAGAAAACTCATGTGATGGAGTGACATCAGAGCCGTCATTTTTGAAACACTGTTTTATAACTTTTGCAAAACATTTGTTTCTATCTGGATCTATTAGTTTATTTAAAAAAAAATGTTTAAAACACAATTCATAGATCCAATGATTTGAATACAACTCTTGTGATAAGCATGTTAATTTCTGAATGAAACATTTTGTTATTGAAATGAATGAACTAAAATTATTGTTTTTGTTAAGCTGAAATAAAGCTTTACATTAAAAATGTACACTTGAAAAACAAACTAATTAGAAAAAGTGCCTTGACAACTAACTGACAATAAGTGGAAGTTGAAGTAAGTTAATACAACGCCAAAACTTCTCCAAAGTCAACAACTGAAATATCTCATAATTTGCAGCAGCTCCTGTGGCTCACCGATTAGAAAGTTTAGTGTTTGGGTGGTAGACCAATCGGTGGCCTGTAATTTGTGGTGAATGGCCTGGCAGCGAGTGGAAGTGCTGGGAAAGGCGATGAAAGTGCAGAAGGGAAGGTCACTGGGGGTTTGAGGTTCTTTCTAAACTTTAAGTACCAATCAGAGTCACACAATGGGTTCATTCATTTTAAACTAGTTATCTGATGGTTTAGAAAACATAAATGAGAGTTTCTCTGACAATGGCTGGGTCCTCAAGACAATAACACATTCTGTTAGGATTTCCTAAACAATGGGATCAAAGCCTCTGAAGATACAGAACATGCTCAGCATTTGTCCACCCGATGTTTCGACTGGGTAGACGGCAATAACAGCTTATTCAAAACAATTGGGAATGAACTAATTGGTTATGATTTGTACGCAACAGAAATTCCTTGATCATATAGACCAAAAGAAGTTCAGTTACAAATGTGTTACAAGATATTTTGCATCTATAATATAAGAAACTTTTATAATAAGAAACTTATTTATAACAATAGGGGATTATTACACTTCCGGGTTTCATGGGCGGGATTCGTCAACTTTGTTCATGTCCACTTCCGACGCAGTTCAACAATACCTGAGACGAATGCTATTTATGTCACTACTCTGTTCCACTTGTATGCGCCCGGCATCTGAATGGCAATCTTTACTATATCCTTTTGCTGCGGCATTTTGAGAGACGAGCGTCTACAACTCTGAAAGAGAGATAAGGGGTAGAAATGCAGATAATAAATACTCAAAAATGATGTACAAGTATTCAAACACTTAATGGTCTGTAAAGCTTGAAACGGTACCAACCTAACAATTATACTGACATTTCAAAACATACCAAATGCCACAAAGGGTGATATGTACAGGGACACTAAATAGGTCACTAATTCTATTTCAGGTTGACTCTGTTTTCTGTGTTCTTCCTCTTTTAAAGAAGAACTTGTGTGTCTCTCTGTTGTGCTTTATATTACTTTAACTCGGCATTCTGGGATTACTAGTGTACTAATATGTGCTCTCGTTTTTTACGTCCAGGGGCCCGTTTCAATAAGGAGGCTCAACCAACTCTGAGTTAAAGCTTGAACTCTGAGTTGACTTACCCTGAGATGGGAAACTCTGAGTTTTCGGTTACAGAACAGCTGAAATGAGTTAGTTCAATCAACTCTGAGTTGACTCACTCTGAGTTAAGCGCGTGCACCACAACTATAAAAAGCCATTATCAATGGAGCGCAGATATTATGAGTCACCATGGCAACAGCGCCAGACAAAAAGAGGTGTTAGGTGTAATTAATTAACAAGTGATCTAAATATTGTAATTTAATTAAGGGGGTTACTCTTAATTCTTCTGTAATTTAAAATAAAATATGATGCAATTACATTAAAAAAGCTACTGCATAAACTTTAGAACAATTCAGTATAAAACAATAGTGCATTTAACATACATTTTTAAAAGTTATATGTTTTATGTAACCTTCTCCCTCTACACACTTTGATCAATTCAAGAATAATTCATGCAATATTGTTAATTTGAAAGAATTAAAAGTGCTGTTTCTTGTCTCTTCTCTTTGTGTTAATCAAGTAGTTGAGGTTGATATAGGATTTAGTAATATGTAGACCAATACTTTCTAGAGATAGTAAGTATTACATTAATCTAACTACACTGTTTAAGATGTCATTTGTGGTTAATAATTCATAACTATTTTACACTAACTTACTGTTATAATATCAGAGGTGAAACTGGAAGAATGTTATTCAACCTAAAGTAGGCTACTATTACTTTGATACATTTTTACTTAAGTAAAAATACCAGTCTAAAAATCTAAAAAATAAAAAGTAGTTAATTTAAAACAGTAAAAGTTGCTGAGTAACTTGTTTAACAGTGGGGGTGGGGTGCGGGACTCCCCCATGTGGGGTATGAGAGTTTCACAGTATAAGAACCGTCTCAGAAAATATCACGGTTTATGGTATTAAACAATTATTAAATATATAAACAGCATTATTAAATTACGGTTATTATTATTATCATCAGTTAAAATGAAAATGAGTTAAATAAATTAAACATTTGTTCAATAAAACATATGTAATCAACTAACTTCAATAATTGATTATGAATAAGATTAACGTCTTATTTTTATCATTAATAACTTATTAAATTATGTTTGAAAAACAATTGAGTTCTATTAAATGTTTTTTATTCCAATTTTTTTAATGATTTAATAGAAATATATTATAAAAAATGGTGGTAATCAAATAAAAGTTTAGCAAACGTTTTAATCCTTTTACTTTTTGGCAAAGTGCTGCAAAACAGATTTAGTCAATTAAACCATGGACAAACAATATATATTCCTTAAAGAATGTGTAAATACATTTTATTGTTAGTGTTTAAACAGCACTTCCTCTTTAAAAAAGGGGAGGAGACCGCAAGAAACTCTGGGTTTACTGAAGAAAACCTGCTCCCGACCAGGTTAGGTTCACAGAGTAAGTTACCATGGTAACTGACTCTGAGTATAAGTTACCTCTCTTTCAGAAACGGGCTTGACTTACTCTGCTTTCTCGGGTTTGATATACCCCCCTTTCTGAAACGGAAAACCCAGAGTTTCCCTCATTTCAGGGTTAACATACTCAGAGTTTTCACTTAACCTCCTTTCTGAAACGGGCCCCTGGACCATTTCACAAGATGTAAACAACACTGGTCCAGAAGCACTTCCTGTTTCAGTTTTTTAACACTACAAAAAAGCTGGGATAAAATACAACCAACAGAACATTTAAAACTGAATAAAAAGTTAAACATCTTTAAGATGTTTTGTTTACATGTGAAATAAAGAAAACAGTAACAAACTGAAACAGGAAGTGCTTCTGGACCAGTGTTGTTTACGTCTTGTGAAATGGTCTATACGACCTGGAGTGCATCTGTTTGCATGCAAACAATAAAAACTATGCATTTTTAGCAGGCGCTGTCCATCTCGCGCGTGCGATACTCAAAACATATAACGTTAGCTGATGACGGTGATAGTAATGATGAGCTCGTCTCGTGCTTACAGCTTTCAGATCCAGCACTCCGTCCTTCGCAGAGTCACACATTTAGTCGTGAGGAGCCCAAGACTTTTCTCGTGGCGACTGGGGGTCTGCGGCTGCAGCGAATCTCCCATCGCACCCAGTTCGTTTCTTCCGGTCTCTAAAGCCATCAAGTTGCTTTTAAAGTATTAGCAAATTCCCACAGTTCTGCCCGCCGTCGGTTTATATTTGTATAGTGAACGCTTTCTGTTGTTATATCGCTGACAGCACCGCTTCTGCCGCCCAAACGCTCGCTTCCCGTCACCGGCCGGTAATTCCGGGGAAGTTCACCTCGAAATGAGAGAGTTAAGCCCCCGTTCAGGGTCCGGTCCGATTCAGGACACAGGTTACCCGAACCCAGATGGCCTAACAAGAACAGACGCTCTCACAAGCACCAGATCTGAGCTAACGTTACTTGAATGACTGAAGCCGTTGACGGCGCGGTGCATCATGGGATGACCTGCTAAAAATGGGAAGCTCTGTGGCACGACCTGTAGGGGGCGATAAGAACAGCATATCTGAAGCGGCCATGTGGGGGCCACCATAGATATCTATAGGGGCCACAGATACAGATAGGTTTTTCTGTGCTGAACCTATTTTTTACAGTCTATGTGCTGAACCTATTGTTACAGTCTGTTAATGTGCTGAACTGAAAAATGCAACTTTTTATGTGAATAACCATAGAATGTTTTTATCATTAGGCATTTGTTAACTTTTTAATGCTTTCTGACTTGCAGCAGACATAGGCTTATAGATAGATAGATAGATAGATAGATAGATAGATAGATAGATAGATAGATAGATAGATAGATAGATAGATAGATAGATAGATAGATAGATAGATAGATAGATAGATAGATAGATAGATAGATAGATAGATAGATCTAGGTGTGACGGGATTCTTTACAAGGTGTGAAGGGATTCCAGTGTGGAGAATAAAGTTAGGTTTTACGCTATTCTCAGAAAAAATATATAAAACAAAAACACATAGGTTTCTCTAAGGGCTATTCACATGAGCACGTTTAAAATAAGGTTTTTCATTAAAACTTTTCTGTCTTTTCTGTAATTTCTGACCGAAAAATCTTATGTTTTGAATTTCTAAAATCCACAGCTTAATCTTATTGGTATACGAAACTTGGTGACTTTTATGGCACTTGGAATGTGAACACAAAAAAATAAAGGGGATGATTCGAGCAGGCTATGTGGCAAAGTCTCTATATTATTCTGAAATCCTGCATTATTGAAAAAAGAAAAAAAATAGAAAACAATTTTTGTATTTTTTCAATGGCAAAAATAAACCATAAATATTGATCATATCCTCTCAAATACAAAATAAAAAAAATGGAGAGAAAAAAAATGATAATTATACAAAAACATATTAGGCATACATTGGTTTTACTGGGGTGAAGGAAGTTTTATTTTCAGCCAGGTGTCCGGTCAATGACCCCAAAGATAATAAGTATTACCCCCAAACGAGGAGCACAAGAGGGTTAATTTGATGGTACGCTTCTCCACATAGGAAGAACACACATGCCATTTGCCTACTGACCTGATGCAGACACACAGCGGATTGATATCGACTTGGTCTAGAGCTAGGTTTACGCGAGGTAAGGTGACAATAAGCGGAGCAGTCTGAAATCTCCCCCAATACCTCTGAAATAGAGTGCACTGCAGTTCAATTTTTCATAAATCATAATACATGCCTGCCTATGGAAGCCATACGTTATATTGCTCACTTTACAACTTAAAAATATATAAAAATATATTTTAGTAGAATCCTGAACACATTTACAATTTATTATTGATTCACTTTATGTAGAGGTCTATGTTTTAGATAACTGGAACATAACTGGAAAATAATGTATAACTGGAAAATAATGTATAACTGGAACATAATATTACATTGTGCAGGAAAACAATTAAGCTCTGTCTTGGATTGGTTATTATTGGTAAATTTAGTTTTAACCATCAGTCAACATGCTCCATGGGAATGCTCATTATTTGAAGTGGGAGGGCTTGTCTGTTTTTATCTGAGAGTTTAAATGTGAAACGTGAGCAGTTCACAGCTGGACAACAGTCAGCATGCTGGGCTTTCTGATACTGGTGTGGATATGCATCTTCATCCTGTTCCTCTTCATCCAGATCCCGAGGCCAAAGAACTTTCCTCCAGGACCTCGTCCTCTGCCATTATTTGGGAATTTGCTTGAGCTAAACATCAATAATCCTTTGAAGGATTTCGAGAGGGTATAGTATTACATTATCATTCTCATTCGTTTTAAAATATAAATAAATATATTTTAAGAATACCCATACAACTGTCAAGAGTTATCTGTTTAAAACATCTGGTAATGTATTGCATAATGAGCAGCCCCATGTGATGTCTTAACTCTAAGCTGGCAGATCGCTATGGAAAAGTTTACAGCCTGTACCTTGGATCAAAACCTTGGATAGTTCTTAACGGTTTCGAGGTTTTGAAGGAAGCTCTTGTTACTAAGGCTGTGGACTTTGCAGGACGTCCTCAGGACCTCATGGTCAACCATATTACAAAGGGAAGCGGTAAATCTTCTTCCAAATCAACCTTTACTCTTACACTGGTGTACACAATACGGTTAATCAGTATGGTTTTGAGGTTGTTCACTCAGTCTCCCCTTTTTACAGAGTCCACAGAGCAATTTTCAGCCTTATCTGAGAGATTACAACGAGTACCATTTAGGCCCATAAATAACAGTTATTTATTATCCCAGGTGTCATTTTGTCTGACTATGGCCAATCTTGGAAAGAACACAGACGCTTTGCTTTGATGACCCTGAGAAACTTTGGCCTGGGGAAGCTGTCGATGGAGGAGAGAATTCTGGGAGAGGTTTCACATATTACTGCTAAATTGGAAAAACTAGTTGGTAATAATGTACTCAATCTCATTTTCGTTGTCTCAAAACAAACTCACACAAGAGCTTGAGTTGACTTTCCTATCAATGTACTTGCAGGAAAGTCCTTTGACCCTCAGACTATGTTCCACAATGCTGCATCAAATATCATTTGCATTGTTCTGTTTGGATCCCGTTATGATTATGAAGACGAATTCCTCAAGCTTTTTATTCACCTCTATACAGAGAATGCAAAGATTGCAAATGGACCGTGGGCCTTGGTGAGGCATTTTATCACTTCATCTTTTAAGGGTTTATATTCCCCAAGACATTTTAAATAAAAATATTTTCTGTAGTTTTTTTTTTAATTTTTAAGAAGAATTTTCTCTATTCTATTGCAGATATACGATACATTTCCAATGGTGAGATTTCTGCCTCTACCCTTCAAGAAGGCCTTCAAAAATGCCAGCAAAGCCAGAGAATTGTCAGCACAACTGGTCAATGAACACAAAAAGACAAGAGTCCCAGGAGAGCCAAGAGACTTCATTGACTGCTATATGGATGAGCTTGATAAGGTGCTTGCACATCTGTAATGGTATTTTTTTAGGAATATGCAATATATCGGTACCATATTGGTTATTGCCGATATTAGAGATTTTTAAAATGTATTAGTATTGATTGATATTGGATATTTAATGTCACATCATTTACTCTATTTTTACATTTACATTACCTTTGCCATTATCTAATGATCACTGAGGATACATCTACACTATCTAAACATCTAAACTACGCTTTTTGAAAATGCTCTTCAAAGTGGATACATTTGAAACGCAGTTTTTGCGTTATAGTGTTAGTTTGGACACGAGCATGCATGTTCAGTCATGTGACGCATATTGTACCGACATGTTTATATCGGTATGTGCAATCTGCTATTCACTTTCACAATGTTGCTAAAGAGACATGTTACTTTGTAAAATCTTCATATTACATTCCTGCCAAGATAAATTTATTCTCAATTGCTGTCCTGTGTTAAAACATGAGGGCAATTGCGTTTTAGAACAAACTTAGAGTGGTGAATGAGTGTGACCTGCACGCGTAAGTAGTGTGAGATATTTTGCTAATAGTGATTGTGCCGGAAGAATAACATGAGAACTTTCTTATGTCTGGTCTTTTGTTATCATCTCAGTGAGCTTTTGCATTTTGCTTGATTTAAGCATCTTCCGACATTTAAATGTGGACGAGAAACCTTTAGAAAACGGTTGAAACGCTAGTGTGGATGGAGAGCGTTTTGAAACAAAAACACAGTTTTCAAATGTACCTCGATTAATGTAGACAGCCTTGAAGTCAGGGACCTTTTACACAAAACTGTTTTCAACTAAAAACGGAAACCTTTTTATGCATTTTGGCCATTCTTTTACATGACAACAGCGTTTTGTGGGCCTGAAAATGTTTCAAAGTGCAAGTTGTAAACTACAAAAACGCGAATTTGTGAAAACGGTGACTTTTAATGTTAGTGCATCCCTATTTTACCTGAATTACAAAGTTGTTTGTATTAATCTCTAATCAGTGGTATTTTAATTTCACTAGAGAGGAAACGATGGATCCTCGTTTACTGAAGCTCAACTTATCCTGTACATTCTGGATTTGCACTTTGCAGGGACTGATACCACGTCAAACACGCTCCTCACTGCATTTCTCTACCTCATGAACCACCCAGAGGTTCAAGGTTTGTGTTTTGGTTATTTAATGCATTTTAATTCATTCAACCATTGCTTTAGCTTAAAATAGCTTTTATTCCACCAGCAAAATGTCAGCGAGAGATTGATGATGTTCTGGGGGATAAAGATCATGCATCGTATGAAGACAGACATGATATGCCGTACACACAGGCTGTGATTCATGAAGTTCAGCGCGTCGCTAACACTGTACCGCTAAGTGTTTTTCACTGCACCACCAAAGACACTGAGCTGATGGGCTACAACATCCCGAAGGTGAGGAAACCATATACAAGTTAGGAGTTTTAAGCCTTTAAAATCATAACTTTGTTTCCTTTTCTTCTCTAGGGAACTTTTGTTATTCCTAACCTCACTTCTGTACTAAAAGAAGAAGGCCAGTGGAAGTTTCCTCATGAATTCAACCCAGACAACTTCCTGAATGAGCAGGGCCAGTTTGAGAAGCCTGAGGCCTTTATGCCTTTTTCTGCAGGTAAACAATTTAGAATCGTATACAGGTACACTGTAAAAAATAATCGTGATTTTAACGGTAAAAGACTGTAAAATGCTACAGTGCAAAACTGTTAATTAGTTAACAGAAAGTTTCCGTACAATATACTGTAAATAACTGTGATACAGTAGGTACATTTAATATAATTTTACTGTAAAAAAATTGTAAAATGTACAATTTTTGAAAGTGAATAAGAACAAGTCTTTGTATAATTTACAGTGAAAAACCGTAAGTTGACATTCTCACAATTTCCTGTGTGACACTTCACTTTTATGTATTTATGTTGAAATAACTGGTTGGTATGGTCTTTTTTTCTAATCAGTTATTATGTTACATTAAACGTTGTTAAATTAATTTTTAAATCTCATGTGTGTTACCATGATGGTGTTTAAT